AATGTTAAAAATCTTTATTGTTCTATACATAGTGTGTACTGAACCTAAAGCACTGTTGAAATATTCAATACAGATACATGTACTGTTGCACCCTTCCTATATCACCACACGGTCAGATGCGAAAGTTTGGGAAGCCTTGTTAATTTTCTTGATTTACCTTTATAAATCATTGATTGTTTGGATAAAAAAAATCTGTAAAATATATCATACAGGGGACAAACAGTGATATTTGAGAAGTGAAATGAAATGATTTACAGAAAGTGTGCAATAATTGGTTAAACTAAATTAGGTAGGTGCATAAATTTGGGCACAAATTTTTTTTTTAAAAACCTTAACTTAATATTTAGTAGATCCTCCTTTCACAGAAATAACAGCCTCTAAACACTTCCTACAGCTTCTAATGAGAGTCTGGATTGTGGCTGAAGGTATTTTAGACCATTCTTCTTTACAAAACATCACTACTTCATTCAGGTTTGATGGTTTCTGAGAATGGACAGCTCTCTTTAAGTGACACCACAGATTTTCAATAATATTCAGGTCTGGGGACTGAGATGGCCATTCCAGAACGTTGTACTTGTTCCTCTGCATGAATGCCTTGGTAGATTTTAAGCAGTGTTTAGGGTGGTTGTCTTGTTGGAAGATGCAGCCCCGGCTTCAGCAGCTTCAGCTTTGTCACTGATTCTTGGACATTGGTCTCCAGAATCTGCTGATACTGATTGGAATCCATGTATCCCTCAACTTTAACAACATTCCCATTCCCTGTACTGGCCACACAGCCCCACAGCATGATGGAACCACCACCAAATTTTACTGTAGGTAGCAGGTGTTTTTCTTGGGAGTGCTGCATTCTTTTTCCTCCATGCATAACGGCCCTTGTTCTGCCCAAATAACTCTAATTTAGTTTCATCAGTCCACAGCACCTTATTCCAAAATGAAGCTGGCTTGTCCAAATGTGCTTTAGCATACCTCAAGCAGCTCTGTTTGTGATGTGGGCGGAGAAAAGGCTTCCTCTGCATCACTCTCCCATTCAGCATCTCCTTGTGTAAAGTGTGCTGAATAGTTGAACGATGCACAGTGACTCCATCAGCAGCAAGATGATGTTGTAGGTCTTTGGTGCTGGTCTGTGGGTTGACTCTGACTGTTCTGAACATCCTTCATTTCTGTTTATTGGAGATTTGTCTTGGTCTGCCACTTCGAGCCTTGACTTGAACTGTGCCTGTGGTCCTCCATTTTCTCACAATGTTTCTCACAGAGGAGACTGAAAGCTGAAGTCTCCGAAATAGCTTTCTGTATCCTTCCCCTAAACCATGACGGTGAACAATCTTTGTTTTCAGCTCATTTGAAAGTTGTTTTCAGACTCCCATGCTGCCACTCTTCAAAGAAGATACAAAGAGGAGAAAAACTTACTATTGCCCCCATTAAATACCCTTTCTCATAATTGGAGTCACCTGTGTATGTACTGTAAGTCAAGGGTCACTGAACGTACCAAACCAAATTTGAGTTCCAATAATTAGTTCTAAAGGTTTTGAAATCAATAAAATGACAACAGGGCCCAAATTTATGCACCTGCCTAATTTTGTTTAACCAATTATTGCACACTTTCTGTAAATCATATAAACCTCATTTCACTTCTCAAATATCACTGTGTTTGTCCCCTATATGATATATTTCACTGATTTTTTAAAATCCAAACACTCAATGATTCATAAAGGTAAATCAGGAAAATTAACAAGGCTGCCCACTGCACATACACACACATTTAGTCAGTTGTTCATCGTTAAAGTACTCTTTGCAAAATCTTGACGACCAGTAATGAAATAATCAAAGAAACCAAATCTGCATTTTTAAAAAACTCTTTGTGAGCCAATTAGTTCACCTTTCATAGGAGGCAAAGTGACAGAAAATATGTCAACAAAGGAGACGTCCGAAGAGCCAGTCAAGATTAAGAAGACTGACAATTTGGATAAACTGCATATTTCCTTATTTCCTGAGGCATAAAAACAAACAACTAATACAAATTAGATTACTAAACCAGGCGATAAAAAAGTCCTGCTGTATTTATTAATTTAGTTTAGTAAATTGAGTTATAGGGGTTTTGTTTGTTTTTATGTTTTTCTTAATTGGCACAGTGGATCAGTGGTTAGCACTGTTCCCTCACAGCAAGAAGGTTCARTCYCCAGTTTGGACTGGTGGAGTTTGCATGTGTTCCTTGTGCTTGTGCGGGTTTTGTCCCCCAATAATAACACGCATGCCTTCAGGTTCMGGCCTCTCTWGCAGAAGAGATCTGTGATTAAATAAACATTAATTAATAAACAAATCCATAAATTGGCCGTCACACATGACATCATCAATGAAAAGCAGCCTTTGGCATCTCCCCTTTTTAAAGTTTAAGTTCTGTTTAATGTTTGCACCAGATCAGCACCAACATTCAAWCAGTTGTTCTTTGTGACGACCCCRAMATGCACTGAAAATTTCAAGAAAATCAGTTCAAAACTTTTTGAGTAACGCTGAGAAGAGACAAACGTCTCAGAAAACATGGCCTCCATGGTTGGAGGTAAAGGCCCTGTCACACTAGACTACTTATATCCACTTCTGAAACATTTTTTACGTCTAAATTGCTAGTAAAATTTATATATTTCATCATTTTGTTTGAATTACAATACGTCCACGTCAAAAAGAAGCTTCCTGTGGATTTTTAAAAATTTCGTCTTCAACAAAGATGTCTTTAAAATGTTCAGAAGTTGATATAAGTTAGTGTGACAGGACCTTAATTAACTGAGTCTGAAACGTTCAACAAAGAAACAAAAAAAGTCAACTTAACTCCATAATTTTATCTGAGTTTGTTGGAAATAATAGTTTTCTGAAAGCAGGCTTCAGGACTGAGTCCAGAGAAGAGACTCACAGTCTRGATTCTGGAGACCTTCAGAGATGATGTGTAAAAACCTGAATGTTCCTGAAGAGCAGCTGAAAGTTCAGGTGTTGAGTTCTGAGGAGGTTCTGGTCTCCTGWGTGAMACAGATCCTGAAGTTCWGATCAGAGTAAWGAGATGAGTTCAGACCTCGGTCTTCTCAGGACCTCTCGAGTCTCTGAAGTGGCTCACATGAAGGTTTTCAGTTCTTGGACAGTCATAAAGTTTTAATGGCCAAAAATCCAAAAATAGAAGACAAGTTTTATAAAAACTTGTTGTAAGAAGACAAGTGAGTAAGAAGTGAGAAGACTGGCTACTATTGTGAGCCAAAGGTTGCAGGTTCAATCTCAGCAGGCATCTTACTACTTTTAGCTTTAAAAAGTGGAAAAAAATCTACTAAAACTGGAGGGAGAAAGAATTAAGCTTAAGTCCTGCAAATCCACAGTTTCTTATTCMTCTGAGTCATCAYACAAAACTAATGTTCTCTGTGGACATACAGCGGGTAAAATAAGTATTGAACACGTYAASATTTTTCTCAGTAAATATATTACTAGAGGTGCTAATGACATGAAATTTTCACCAGATGTTGGTAACAACCCAAGTGATCCATACATACAAAGAAATCAAACCATAAATGTCCAGAAATGAAGTTATTTGTAATAATGTGGAATGGCACAGGGAAAAAAGTATTGAACACATGAAGAAAGGGAGGTGTAAAAAGGCATGGAAAGCCAAGACACCAGCTGAACTCTCTCAGTAATTAGAAAGCAAGCCTGCCCCTTGTCAGTGCAAGTTAATATCAGCTGGTTCAGTCCCAAATGATGRCCAGGTATCACACAAGAACCATCTGATGATGGGTAAAAGTAAAGAGCTCTCTCAAGACCTTCACAACCTTATTGTTGCAAAGCATAATGATGGCATCRGTTACAGAAGAATGTCTAAACTTCTGAAGGTTCCAGTGAGCACTGTTGGGGCCATAATTCAGAAGTGGAAAGAACATTATTTCACCATAAACCGACCACGACCAGGTGCTCCTCACAAGATTTCTGACAGAGGAGTGAAAAGAATGATCAGAAGAGTTGTCCAAGAGCCAAGGACCACTTGTGGAGAGCTTCAGAMAGACCTGGAATTAGCAGGTATGATTGTTTCAAAGAAAACAATAAGTAATGCACTGAACCACCATGGCCTGTATGCACGCTCACCACGCAAGACTCCACTGCTGAAGAAACAGCATGTTGAAGCTCCTTTAAAGTTTGCTGCACAACATTTAAACAAGCCTGTGTAATACTGGGAGAATATAGTCTGGTCAGATGAGACCAACATTGAACTGTTTGGATGCCAGAATACACATCATGTTTGGAGGTCAAATGGCACTGCACATCAGCCCAAAAACACCATACCAACAGTGAAGTTTGGAGGTGGGAACATCATGGTGTGGGRCTGTTTTTCAGCATATGGTACTGGCAAACTTCAAATAATTGAAGGAAGGATGAGTGGAAAAATGTACAGAGACATTCTTGATAAAAAATCTCTTCCATCTACCAGGATGATGAAGATGAAACGTGGCTGGACATTTCAGCAAGACAATGAGCCCAAACACAAAGCCAAGGAAACTCTCAGTTGGTTTCAGAGAAAGAAACTAAAGCTGCTGGAATGGCCCAGCCAATCASCTGACCTGAATCCAACAGAAAATCTATGGAAAGAACTAAAGATCAGAGTTCATAGAAGAGGTCCACGAAACCTTCAAGATTTGAAGACTGTTTGTGTGGAAGAATGGGCCAAAATCACACCTGAGCAATGCATGCCACTAGTTTCTCCATACAGGAGGCGTCTTGAAGCTGTCATTGACAACAAAGACTTTTGTACAAAGTATTAGATAAATTTCAGTAAGTGTGTTCAATACTTTTTCCTGTGCCATTCCACATTATTACAAATAACTTCATTTCTGGACATTTATGGTTTGATTTCTTTGTATGTATGGATCACTTGGGTTGTTACCAACATCTGGTGAAAATTTCATGTCATTAGCACCTCTAGTAATATATTTACTGAGAAAAATGGTGACGTGTTCAATACTTATTTTACCCGTTGTAAGCTTTTAAAAATTCAACATTTTATTTTACAGACAAATGAACTTAGAAAATATYTGAAGTGAAGCTGAAGGTTGAGCTGCAGAGGAGACGTCATCAGCTGCTGTTCAGCTCACTCACCACTCAGGACTGATCGGGTCTTAGAGGGTCTCTCATCTTCAGTCCATCAGAGTCCACCAGCCTGTTGGAAACAGACATGTCCACATTCATCAGACTCCATGTTTTCTGCGTCTTTCAAATGAAGCTTTAAAAACCTCTGAAATCTGCAGAAACTAAATTATTACACAAGTCGAAGAAAGACTCGTTTCTTCCTGAAACACTTTGTGACATAAAAACTTAGATTTCTCCTGAAACATGAATTTTCCTCTGAATCAATTAGACTTTTTTTTTTATTCCCCTCGTGAAGCTCAGAGCTCTGTTCTGGTGTCTTATCTCTGTTTGAATGTCAGTGACCCAAACTTCATAGTTTGTTTCAACCAAGTGCTTTTGTTTACACTGAGCGCATTCCCACATTTCAGAACTTCAACATCTGGAAAACGACTGAAGGGAACTCCTTCAAACGGCCCCCTTCGGTCCAGCTCAGGATAAACTTTTTATAACGTTTGATTTTAAAGTTTGTAACAAATACGTTTAATTAAACTAATATTTAATCCTGTCTAAAATTAGATCTTTGACTCAGTTCTTGGAGAGATTTGGTTTAAAATGAGCTGAATAACTCCTCTCCCAGTTCTTAATTGGTTTCTTTACATTACACAAACAGCTGGGGTCGCCAATAGCAAACAGGACATATTCTAATAGTTCAGTGGTTTTTTTTAAATCATCTGAAACCTTTTTTAAATAAATAACAAAATGAAAACATAATGATTCGTTTTGAATAGGACTTTGATGTAAGCAGCTGCAAATATAGCATAAAAAATGCAAAACAAACCTCTTGATAAGTTTTTATTTAACATAAATAAACTGAATATGAAATTGGAGGCTCCTTAACTTGACACACAATTGAGTTTTAGTGTATTAGTGTGTTTTTTCTCTCCCCCCTCTCAGGTTGTTTGGGTGGTTTTACTCCCTCCTCTCATAAACACACACCTCCCACCTGCGCCTCTCTCTCTGCATCTCCGTCCCTGTTTTTCGCTCGCGCGCGGAACACTTTCCTCTCAGCTATCCAAGATGGCGGCAGCCTCGTCCATCCCGCCGCCGAGCGTTCACTCCACCCTCGCCCGGGATAGCGCACTTTCCCCGGAGATGGACAGCTTCGAGAGCCGACAGCCGGAGGACGAGGAGTCGGCGGCGGCCGCTGCTGCTGCCGCGGCGGCGGCGGGGTCAGCGCAGCCCTGCGAGCCGGGGATAAGCCTCCGAGACCTGCCGGACCTGGAGCCGGAGGAGGTCGAGCGGAGGCTGGCCAAAACCCGCCTGGAACTGAGCAACAGGAGGAAAATCCTCATAAAGAACCTGCCGCCGGACACCACCAACCAGGTGGGGGAAAAAAAAGTAAACACGGAGAAGTTTTTCATTTCCGCTCAGACTCGGAACATCAAATTGTTTATTTTAGTAAAAAAAATATACTGAAAACCTGAGTGACAAACTTTTCAAACAGAAGTTAATGTGGAGTTTTATTAACTTTAAAAATGGCTGCCATCGATATAATGATGCAAATTCAGATTAAATAAAGATTAAAGTATTTTTTTATCAATATATTTTATTTTATTTGCAAGTTGCCAAAAAAAGTACAGTATGTGTTTTAATGTAAAAAGGGGCTCTTTAAATGCAACTACGTCATGCACCTGCACTGATATTATGCATGAAAACTTTTTAGTATTTTTTTTGTCACTTAAGTAGAAAACGAAACCAAATATTAGTTTATTTAGTTTATTTCTTCATCATCAGTGACTTTTTTTGAAGAGAAAATAGAGACAGAGA